TGCCGGCCCTGACCTTCAGGCTGAGACAATGGGTTGGTTCTCCGCTGTGCAGACACCTTGCCCACCCCCACACAGGGCTCTTTGGAAGGAAGTCACCATGTGCAGCCCACACGGAAGCGGGTGGAGCTGGGCCCCCTCCCCGTGCCCCTTACTTGGATTTATTTAGAGACGAAGTTTCCATCTTGTCGCCCAGGCTGGAGTGCAATGGAATGATCTTGGCTCCCTGCAACCTCTGACTCTCGGGTTCAAGCGATCCTCCTCCCTCAGCCTCCCAAGCAGCTGAGATTACAGGGGTACGCCACCACACCTGGCTAACTTTTTGTATTTTTAGCAGAGACGGGGGTTCACTAGGCTGGTCTCTAACTCCTGACCCCAGGAGATCTGCCTGCCTCAACCTCCCAAAATGCTGGGATTACAGGCATGAGCCACCAAGCTTGGCCAGGCCCCTTACTTTTAAAGGTCTGCCTCCAGAGTGACCATCTGTGTCGCGTTGGGAGCTCTTCAGAATGTCCCATCCAGTCTCAGATGATAGCAATGGCCTCTCCAGCGTGCTGGTCCCATTCTCTGTGCTGTTTATGCCCCTTTATGCCTGGATTCCTCCCAAAACGTTCTGCCCTGCACTTAGAGGGGCTCAGAGAGGCAGTGGCACCTGCCCCCAGCAACCAGGCAGGCATCTAGCACAGTGGCCACTGGGCCTGCCTATGCCGGCTGAGGCCCCCTCGATGCCACCCACCCCCTAAGTGCATACCATGCCTGCCACGTCAGTGCTCACCCTGTCCCTCTTGCCCTGGCGAGAAATGGCCTGCACCGGAAAACTGGCTCTGCCTTTTACATTGGACAAAGCCAAAGTGGGCTGGAGGTGGTTGGGCCCGGCTTTCTGCCGCAGGGTGCGACACCCCGACCCCAAGCCCTGGCTCCCACCCTCAATGCGCTCCTGCCTTTGCCTTCCTGCTGGTAACGCTGCAGGTGGTGAACAACGAGGGGGCCTGTCCAGTCCATGCAAGAGGCAAAGAAACGGTGCTCCGGACTTCATGTGGACAGCTTCTCCCACGGCACCCAGCATGCAGGGGGAAGTGTGGAAGAAGGGTAGGCAGGGGAGAAGCCTAGCCCTCCTGGCTCTGCCCCAGATGCCCGTCTGACTGGGCTCGGGTGCCCTCTGATCTCTCCTGCTCTGGAACTTTCTGGTTACTGATTACAAGTGCTTTAATCCAGGAATGAAAAGAGGGAAGAGGAGTTCTGATTGGGCGGACCCTTCTCTTGGAGAGAAGGCAAAGCTGCCAGGCAGAGGGTGGGAAGGGAGAGGAAGGGGAGAGGGGAAGCTCCCTTGACAGGCATAAAATGTCCCCAGGATTGCCGACAGGTGGCTACTCTCAGGCTGCGCTCAGCTGAGGCTGGTCAGGAAGAGGGAGAAGGAGGTGAAAGCGGGTTCAAGTTTTGCTGGGTGGTCACCTCGGAAAGGGCTCCTTCGGTTGAGCAGAACTCCCCAATCCTTCGCCTGCCTTGCCAGGAGAACAGCTTGCTTGAAAAGCAAAGGCTGTCATCCTGTAATTAAATCTGAGACCCCCCCCATGTGACGTTGAGATGAAGCCACTTACATAACGCGACTAAAAATAAGCTGATGAAGGCTACACGCTCTCGCTGCCTCCAGCCCTCTGCTCCCCAGCGGCCCACAGTGCGGCTGACCACGGTCGGCATCACCAGCTGTGGGGTCGGGTTCTTGTCTGAAGTCACTCTTGCCCTGGCCCTGCTCAGCACCCTGTGTGCATGAGGGCCCATCACCGTCACCCGGGCTGCAGACCCCCGGCTCAGCGCTGGGGTGCGAAAGATCCCCTGGCCGCCCAGACAAGGGCTGACGCTCATGAGGAGGCCTGCAGTGTACGGGCTCGGCCTGCCTCCTCCTCAGTGACCCCCATGAGCTGCTCATTACAGAAGCCTGCTCCCACCTCCACCCCACAGTCTGGATTTTGGAAACCTACCCCACCCCACCGCCAGTGCAGGAAGCTGACCCTGGTCTGGGGTGCTGACGGAGGGTCTGGGAGGAGGTGGTGGCTGGCTGTCTCGGCGGCTGGCGACACCTCTTCTGCTCTTTCTTCCTGGGAGGAGGCGGCAGGGCAAAGCCTCTCTGCCAAGACACTGGTTTCCTTCAGGCCGTCTTGTAGAGGCGTGGGTGAGATCCCAGGTCTGGGCTGCAATTTCTGGCCACGCTGCCCAGCCCTCAGGCAAGCAGTGGGGTTGTGCAGTGTGTACCCCACCACGCTCTCAACAGTCAAGGGAAGCAGGAGCGAGGGGTGGTCTGTGAATGTCTCCAAAATAAAATGCGTCGGGACAAGAGTGGCCTCCTAGCTCCACCTGGAGCTGGCATCACGGCGATCTCCGGATGCCCAGCCCATAAACCTGGCCTGTCTATCCCCAGGAACCTTGGTACTCAGCCCCCCAGACCCCAGACACCTATGCCCTTTAGAAAGGCTTCCACATCAGTCAGAAAGGCCTCACAGGACGCTGGTGAAGGCGAGCACGGAGTACATGGGCACAGCCTCAGTAGAGACCTTCCTGGAAGCTGGTGGTGCAGAGCAGATGCCAGGCGGGTGCCAAGCTTCTTGGCCTTGTTCTCCATTCCTAGGTACGAGGACTTCCCCACGTCCAGCTCTGTGCCTGCCGTCAGCCACGGGCGTCTCCTCGGGTGCCAAGCTGGTCATCTCCATATGCGGCAGGTGTTCTGATAACCCTCTTCTCAGGGACGGCCTCCATCCTGCCATTCAGCCTCCTGCCCAGCTGCCAGGCGGAGGGAGCAGACCCAGGCACCGAGACCGCTGAGCCACTGGCCACCTGGAAAGCGGCCTGGGCTCTGAGTCGGTCACCAAATGTGAGTGTCCCCTTGGATGGAGAAGTGCAATCACATGTAGGCGGGTCAGGAAATAACCTTTGGAGATTCTAGAAGGTGGGGTGGGACCCAGGACCATGGGAGCTTTTCTGGAGGGGCCTCCCTGTCCTGCGTTGCGGCTGGTGGGAGCGGCGAGGCCTGGAGAAGAAAAGTTCCCAGGTTCACTCCCCTCTTGGAGCGAGGAGACCGCCCGTGTTTGCCTGCCGACCTCTGTCTGTCATCTTCGTTCCAGCCGTTCAACTTTCCTTTGGGCGAGAGGGCTGCTGTGCCCCCACCTGCTCCCTGCTGGCCCAGACCCAGTTCAGGCCAGTGGATGTCAGTCCTAGGGCCAGTGTGAGGTCCGCAGGTGTGGCGTGCACAGCACCCAGCTGGCCCGGAGGAAGGGGTCAGGGTCAGTGGAGACGTTCCTGCCTTCGGGTAAATGTCCTCATTTGTCAGGGCCAGTTTGAGTTGGCTTTCTGTCATGTGCAACCAAAAGAATCCTAGAAAATAAATACACAGGGATCTACCCTCAAACACTGGAGACAATAGAGGAAAAGGAAGAAGCCGGGGCCAGTAACTGGAAGGAAATTCAGCTGGAGGAGAGGAGGCACGCGGCTGTGGTGGGAGGGGAGGCGAGGCTTCCTGAATCTCACTTCCCGGTTCTTCGCATCCGCATGAGTGCCTGCACTGGCTTATCCAGCCCCTGCCAGTGTCTGGGGGTTTGCGGCCAGCCTGCACAGCTGTGTGCAGGGTCCTGACTTGTTGAATGAATGAATGAATGAGTGAATGACTGATACTGCAGGGATGGGAGGCAGGGAGAGTGTGACGTTTAATTAAAGGGAAACGCTCAGATCTGGTGTTTTACAAAGTAAAGCAAATAATTCCTCTATGTTAGTCTAATTTATGTAAATATTTCTCCAAGGGAATTGTACTGGGAGTCCTGTGTGCCAACTCGGCCACCTTCCCGGGCAGAATCCCCTTGGGAGGACCCTTAAGCAAGACCCTTTCTAAAAACTGGAGGCAGCTCTGACTCCTCCATCCTTTCTACAAGGTTCCCCAGCCCTCAGGGTTTTCCACCGCATGAGAGTCCTCGGGGCCACTCGTGTCCTGCCACCCTCGACCCTGCCTTCGCCGGAGACCTCTCTCCCCAAGTAAACTGTCTCCAACGAGAGACTCCAGCCCGCAGAGGGTCCTCCCCCTCCCTGAGGGTCGCCCTGCCCCCAGGCCTTCCAGCAGGAAGCTCCCCTGTCCCCTCTCCAAATCCCCCTTCCCAGTGCCCTCCCCCAAGATCCCCCTCCCCCAGGGTCCTCCCCTCTCCAGAATCCCAGCCCCAAGCCCCACGCGCCGTCTGCCTGTCTAGGGGCCTCCCCAGAGTTCACCTTCTCCAGGGTCCTCCCTCCAAGTCCTCTCCTCACGGTGCTCCCCCGAAATGCAATTTCTCCAAGTGGTGCCCCGCTCCAGGGCCCAGCTCCCTCCAGGGTCCTCCGGCAGCACCGCCGGCCCAGGGTTCTCCTCTCTGCCCTGAGGGGCCGGCCGGGGGGTCGCCGCCCGCCCAGCGGGCTTACCTGCACAGCGGCGCGGTGGGGACTTCTCTCACCTGTAAGCCCCGCCCGCGGCGTCCGGCGTCCAAGCCGCTCCGGTCGCCTCCCCGCAGCGCCAGGCCGCGACCCGGCGGGCCGGCCGCCCCGAAGTGCCACTTCGCGAAGTGCCGCCTCCACGCGCGCTCGCCGCCGGCGCCCCCCGCTCCGCTCTCCTCCCCCCACCTTCTGCTCCTTCTTCCTGCGCCACCCCGCCCCCGCCTCCCCGCCCCCAGCCCGGCTGTTGCCGGGCCCCCCTCAGGCTGTTCCCAGGGCCCCAGCCCGCGCCGCGCCTCCCCCTCCTCCCCCAGGAGCGACGCAGCCGCCGACCAATCGCTGCCTGGAGCCAGCCACCGGGCCCCGCCTCTGATCCCGCCCCCCTCCCCCGTCTCCGGAACCCACCAATAGAAAGGGCGGTGCGGGGGCGGGGCCTGGAGGTTGCCTAGCAGCGGCAGCGCTGGGCGGGGGCGGGGGACCGGGGGCGGTGATGCGGGCGCGACGGGGGCGGGACGCAGGGGCGGGGCCTGTATCGGGGCGGGGCCTGAGACGGCTACTAAAGCGGCTGCCGCCGGACGCCGAGCTCTGTGGTTCGGGTCCGCGTTTGTCTCCGGTCCGCCGCTGCCGCCGCCGTTTCCGCCCCCGCTCCGGTCTGTGGTGCAGCCGGGACCCACGACCATGTCGCTGTCTCGCTCTGAGGAGATGCACCGGCTCACGGAAAATGTCTACAAGGTGAGTTCCCCTCGCTACCCCCGAGCCAAGCTGAGCCCGCTCCGGGTGCGCCCGAGTTCCGCGCCGCTGGCTTTCCCGAGTCCGACCAGGGCGGCCCGGGGCCGCGCGCGGGGCCAGGAGGCCGGGACTTCGGGGGTCTTCCCGGCGCGGCCTCCGGGGCCCTGGGCTGCGGGGGTGGCGAGTCCGGCGCCGGCCGCTCACAGGTGGCCTCCCCGCCTGCCCCCCATCCGACGCCCCGGCGGCCCGGCCGGCCTCGGCCCCAGGCCCGGGGGACGCTCCCAGCCCCGACGGCCCTGCGCGGCCCCCGCGCGCCCCTCCGCGCGCCCACTCTGGCGTCCGCGGGAACGGAGCCGCGCGCGGGGCCCCGGGAGCCCTCGGACTTGTCTGGGCTGTCGCAGACCCGGGCGGGGCGGGGGCGGCGGGCCCAGGGGCTGCGTGGCCGGGGCGGCGTGGGGGCTGCCTGCAGGCCGCGGCCGGCGCGGCGGCACCGTGGGGCTCTTCCAGGCGCGGTTGCGCGAATCTCGGGCACTTCCTTCTCAACAGGCTTTCCCTTTCCACAACTCCTGCCCGGCGCCGCTGCCAGGGCCTAAGGTGGGAGGTCGGAGCGCGGGCAGGTTGGATGTGTGGACGGATAATCCATCATCTTATGTAACCGCGGAGGGAGAAGACTAATTGTGTAGGAGGCTGACGTGCCTGCCTTCGCTTTAGATGTGTTGAGAGTGGCATCCACGTTCTCGTCTGTGAAATGACAGGTTCACATCCGAGGGCCGCAGAGCCCCTCTGGAAATCTCCCCTGCCGCCCCCCCCGTGGTTTTTGTCGCTGGGATACCGACCCACAGGCCCTTGGTTTTCCCTTTCTTCAGCATCCATTCTCGGTCCAGACCCCCACCCCTGAGCGCAGCAGCTCCTGGGGGGCATTTTCTCAGAAGAAACCCTGGCCCTGGGTGGCCCTGGGTCCTGGGCGATCTGTTACAGCGAAGATGTGTTTTGTTTCAAAACTGTCTGAAGGTTCAGTGACAGGCTGGGTGACCAGTGGAGTGGGCATTTACCCGGCAGTTGCTGGTTCATGCCTCACCGGATTGCGCCCTGCCTGGCAGAGTAACAGTTTTTAATTGTGTTAGGAGGCCAAGGTGTTCGTGGCCAGGGGCCTGCGAAGCCCTCGTAGCACTCAGGCTTTGGAGAGCCAGATGGAGGCTTCTGGGGCCGCCCCTCTGGTTCCAGCTGGAGTGGGGTGGGGGGAGGCGAGAGGCGCAGATTGCGCCTGAGTACAGCTTTCAATAAAGCTTGTGAAGTTGGGGCCACGTCGGTCTGTAAGTCAGGTGTGGTCTACTAGATCAGCCCTAAAGCCGTTGTCAGAACCACCGGTAAACAGGATTCACAGTGACCTCAGGAGTCGCACGGGAAAGGAGCAGCCCCTGGGGTTTTCTGTTTGATTTCACAGAGTCCGTGGCCTACGGTTCTGGCCTTGTTTCTCTGTGGAAGCACGTGCTTTTAAGGGAGGCAGGTTTATTACATTATTAGTCATTAGTTCCGTTACGACTTGTTCGTGATTACAGAGGGTGGCAGAAAAGTACTGGTGGCACCTTTTCCCTATTTTCTCTGCTTCTGGGCTGAAACCAGAAAGCAGGAACTTTCGTGGTGAAAGTTGGAGGGGGGGGTGCATGGAGCGGTTTTGCTCTGGGAGACTTACTCCGTGTTCACCCTTAATGAAACTCCTGGCCCGGCAGTCGGCCATCACCAAGATGGAGCTGTAATTTGTCTGTAGGTCTGAGTGAAATCCTGAAAACTCAGGACTGAGCTCATGGGGACTCTGAGCCCCTGTGGATTCGAGGAACAGGTCTGGAGCACGTGAAACACACAGGCTCTGCGCTTTGTACTCGGCAGGTGGGTTGATTGGTGATTTCCGCAGGTGAAGATGTGATTTGACTTAGCAGTCGGCCGTAGGTGTCTGAAGGGCTGATCCGTTCTGGAAACACTGCCCTGGAGAGAGGCCGGCGCTGCTGCTGCAGGCAGGCGGGGTTGGCTCCGTAGGTAGGTGGCTCCTGCTGCGGCTCCCGGGGCCTGACTGTTGAGTCTTTGGGTCCTGGTGCTGTTTCCTTTTTGTGCTTTGTCACTGGGGAGCTCATGGTGCTGTGGTAGTGCCAGTACTGGTTGGGCAGCTTTGGCATGTCAGCCAGGCAGAAACCTGGCCCACATGGAGACACAGTCAGGAGACCGACAAAGCTACCCGTGTGCACACCTGGCCGGTCAAGCCGGTCCAGGCAGCGCCAAGGTCCGTCCTCTACTGGGACGGTGCTGCCTCTGGCATCCCTTCCAGGGGCTGCCACACCTGTGCCCGGGTTGACGCTTGCAGAGCCCGGTAGTGCCTCTTGGAATGGCCGGACTGTGGCCTGCTCAGTGTGTCACCCGCGATGCGGCTCCGCTGTTTGGTTTGGCCCTTGCCTGGCCTCAACTGCGGTTCTGAGTGGTGTTTGCCTTGGCAAAGGAGGATGCCTGTCCTTGGCCTTGCTGATTAAAAAATGCGAGAATGAAATGTGCAGTTTGATTTTCTCTCCTGTAAGAATCTGTAACGCAGACTTTGACCTCTTTCCTGGTGGCTCCGTTCCCTTGGGAGCTGTGTCCTCGGGGAATTTCATGGAAGGTGAAGGGGAAGGGAGTAGAAAGGCTTTCCGGTGTCTGCTGAGAACCTTCTAGGGGCAGAGCCTGGGCTGGGCCTTGCATGGGTTGGGAGGGCAAGTCGAGGAAGACCTCTTCCTTCACGGGAGCCCTATCCCTGCGCGCACTCAGGTAGCCCTGGTGATGGCCCAGATCAAGGGACGGAATGTTGGAATCTGCTTCCCCAGATGGCTGAGTGGCCTTTGGAATTAAGGCTACTGAAACTGCAGCTCTGCTGGGGGAGCACTGAGCATCCCCGTGTGCTGAGGAGCTGCCTCCCTTGCTGCCTATGGCTCCTGGGGCACTAGGCAACTGTCAGGGGGGTGTTTTCCTCACAGTCCTGTGTCCTCAGAGAAGCCCTGGTGCCCAGGTGACCCATGACCTGGAGTGTGGTGGCTCCAGCACCTTTTCTGGGAATAGCGCCATTGGCCCACAGCCTGCCTTAGAACATGTGAGGTGGGAGAGCATCTGGGGAGGTGTGAGTCCCTGCTACCGGACAGCTGTGGCCATGGCCTTCCTGGTGCCGAGGCTCCTGGCCCTGGCTGGCCACTCTGGCAGCTGGTGGGGAAGCCAGCCTGGCCAGGCCGCAGCCATGCTTCCTGGAGGCGAGTGACACAGGGTTCCTGGAGCTGGGAGCCAGTTGGGTTTGCCGCCTCTGGTGTGATTGGTAAGGGTTGGTGCCAGGTGGTGGGCGTCATGTACTAGGTGGCAGGGAGTCTGCTGCTGGCTTTTCTGCTTTTCTGCTCAGGGCCTGGCTGCCCAGGCCTGGCTGCTCCTCTCTGCCACATCCAGCTTCTTCCCAGGGTGTGCGGAGTTCACCACCCCTCCATTTGGATATGGGGGGGAAGTCTCTGACAGGTACCTCCTGGCATTGGAGCCTCCTACCTGGGGAGCAGCAAACATGGCACCCAAGGAGGAGAGAATTCACGGTGCTGAGCTCAGCTGGGTGTGCATGCCCGTGTGTGTATATTTGCATGTCCTTGTGTGTACATGTGCGTGTGCATGCACACGTGCATGCGGTGCTTTTAGAGATCACTTCCCAGGAGGCCCCTGTGGGCACCATCTTCCCACAGGGTGACTGGGCCTGCTGTCACTGATCGGACCCAGTCTGTGCTTCCTCCCCATGTGCGTGTCATGGTCCGTGTCACCCGCCCTCGCCACCGCCAGCCGTTAGCAGGGGTGCATCTCCCAGGAGCGGTGCTGATGTCCTCCTGACTGGGTGGTGCGAGTGTCTTGCCGTGCCTGCTGTCCCCGCCTCGAGCAGGTGTTCTTTGTTGGGCAGGTCAGTTGGCTCATGGGACTGACAGAGTGGACTTGAGGCTCAGAGCTAGAATGAAGGCTGGTGCTGATCTGGGCTATCAGGGGCCACCGTTAGAGGGGAGGGCAGTGGGTGGGGCTGCTGGGAGCTGTGTTCTGCTGATGCCTTGTTCTGGACTGAGGCTTCCAAAGGTCAAGGCCTCCGGGCCAGGCCCTGTCTCCTGGCCACAGGCACCATGAACTGAGCTGTCCAGGATAGGTGGTCTTGCAGGGGAGGGGTAGTGTGTGACCTGGCCACTGACCGGAAGGGGCCCATCCTCTTCCCAGCTCCAGGAGGCAGGCTGGCCGGGAGGCTGAGGCCCGGCCCACCCTTCTCTCCAGTTCACGGGTCTGGGCTCTGGTTGGGGGAGCAATCCCAGGGTCACTGCAGGAGTGGGAGGTGGCGAGCAGAGCCAGACATCACCACTTGTCCCCACCCAGCCTTACATGGCCCTCTCTGCTAGCTGCCCTGGGCTGGCATTGCTTGTGGCTACCACCATGGGTGTGGTCACCCACCCCCTCAGGGGGGTGGAGAGCCACTGACTGCTGGCTGAGGCTGGCTCCTGTCCTTCCTTGCAGGGTCTGCCCTATGTTGCCTTGCCGGCCACCTCGTCTGGGTGACTTTTCTTGAGGCCCCAGGATAGGGAAGCATCCTTGTGGCTGCACAGAGGCCATGGTCCCTGGAAGCTCTGCACTTGGGTGGCCAGTGCCGTCAGCCGCCCTCCCCACAGACTGCGCTAAACTGCCTAGTAATTGCAGACAGGCAGGGATGGAGCTGGCACCCACCTCCAACACACTCCCACCTCCCCCGAGCGCTGATTCATTCCCAGCCCCTGCTTGTGCCCGTACAGCTGCATCATGACTCCAGGGGCCTCAACAGAGGCAGAAGGGGAGGCGGAGACGGGACCCGTTTGGCTTTGTGACTGCAGGGACTCCATCTACCCTGCCCCAGACGCCTCTATCGGGCTGGGAATGGCGGTCTGCCTGTGAGAGGATCCATTGGTATTTGGGAATGAACACATCTTGTTTCTGGATTCTGGAGCGTTCAT